TTGACACCTCTATTCATGAGGGATAAATTTTTTATAGCCTACAAAAATTTATTAAAATTCAAATTTAAAATATCTGAATTTATAACTTGTCTTTGGTATTATTTGAACTATTTCAAGTATGGTCCATAAAAGTTGGCAATTGAGCTTGTGAATTTTGACTTGGAGTTGGAGAGACACCGTCTTTTACCAACCAAGTTAGCCGCCATAGTTTACATCGAAGTTAAAGGTATCTACTATATGGTATTAATTGGAGAAATGGAGTCCTAATGTGCCTTCATATACGCATAAAACTTCCCACCTTCACCAACGTCAGCATTATAATGATGACAACCTTTTTGTCCAAAGTGGAAGTCGACTCCTTTTAATCAACATTGGCTTGCTTGTCTGTCTATTTCTTTATTGTGTTGTTGAAATTGATAATTTGATGAGAAAATAGTTGTTGAAATGGATGTAAACTATGGAGATATTTGAACCAATTGCATTTAGTTCTATGCTTTTCCGTGACACTCTTAATAGGAGGTTACGAGTTCAACACTCGCTATAAATGAGATGTCATGGTTCATTTTTTCTAGTGCTATCTCTTTGGACACTCTTTGGTGCTTCTCTATCAAGCAATTTTAGATGTTTGTTTAGTTTTCATGTGACATTGTACCATAAGGGCGAGAAGCCTGATTAAGGTTAGCTTCTTAAATTGATTGTAATCCAATCAAGTCTAAAACAATCGTTTATAGATTGATCATTCATCGAAGAGAACCCACTAGAACATAAAAGATAAAATTGAATTTCAAGAGGTTATTCAAATAGTAATTCAAATAATAATAAAAATGAGTTATAAATTCATATATATATATAATTTGAATCTTGACAACTTTTATAGTTAAGTCATGAGGGATTTTATATCTAATGAATACTTTAATTCTGATGTGAATGATCTGTCTTTGAGCTGATTAGGGAGGGAATAAATCGAGATACATGTAAACGGACACGAATACCTCTAACTGTTAAACTAAAAAAAAAGGATATAACTTAAATCCTTCGTTACGAATTCAAACCAGACTCATTACATTCAAACATTTTTAGTGGAGCAAAATAATTTTAAGATTTTTATTTTGCTTCTTGTTCAATGTCATTATGGGTAAATAACTTAGGCTCTTGTACAATTTTCAAAATTGAACTTACAACTAAAATAATGATGCACTTCACCAAATGAAAAAACTTGAAAAACATAATAAATATTGAGTGGTAACAAAGACGAGTTCAATGGGTAGCTCTAGTGAAAACTAAAATGAATTTAAATCTATACATTTTGAGTTCGAATCTTGACAACTTTTTATACCGTAAAAAAATTATTCATCATAAATATCATAATTCTTACATATATGATCTATCTTTAACATATTGGAAAAGAAAGTAATCGAGGGGAGGAAAACTACGGTTATTAGTTATTATTAAATCCAAATGGGACTAAATTAATAGTATTTTTATAGTAAATCTCAGCCTTGTGGTTTTGTTATTGTCAAAGGTAATGGGAGATTACCGAACAAAAGCAGCTATTAATTATGGTATCAAGGTAGTTGCTGCAATTGCTGTGACCATTGGCCATTTAAATGAAAAGGTTGCCAGCCAGTATGTCATGTTGTCTCTGTGTGTCGATTGATGATTCCAATAAATGTCCTATTCAGCATGTGCCCACTTTTTATGGCAGAATTGCAGTACTGGGTGGGTGGGTGGTTAGTTGGTTAACCCAATTTTCATCTTTTTTAATATCATCAGACTCGGATCGAATTTTTAGGTTATTAACGAATTTAAATATAGATCATGAAATATAGTATAACATATTCACATTTAAATTATAATTAAAAAATTAATTATTTTTGTGTTGGATTTGGATACTAACCATATTGGAATCAATACTTTTAGATTCAGATGCATTGCAAATCATGTATAAAATATTGGTCAATTAATGATGGGTCCCGATATATATTTTTTTTGAAGTGTGTTAAACGTTGAAGTTATACCGAAATAAGACGGATACTTTGAAAGTCGAGAGCAGCTGCCAAATAAAGTGGCTGGCAAACGTGTATGATGTATGTTCCTCCAAGTGTATTCTTTTTTTTTTTTTTCAATAGTCAATTTAATTCTGGTTAGTTTATGCGTGTTCCGACTAATTTTTTCTTTGATTTTATAAAAAATAGGCTATCATCATCGGAACTAGGGTATTTATGGACGAACAAAAATAGGTCCTACTTGATAAAATATCCGATATTAAAATAATAATATTTTAACCTAGTTAATTAATTTTGTTTGCTAACTTAACTCGTTAGGGTTGATGTAATAGAACTTATTCAATATTAGAACTTACTATTAATTTAACAAAAAAAAAAAAATTGCAAAACAACGATCAACTTATCTGCACACAACAAAGATTAACTTATTTGTTTTGAGTTCGAATTTTGACAATTTTTTGAAGTCAGACCATGAAGAATATATCTCTTATAAATACCTTAATCTCAGCGTAGATGATCTACTTTTAACTGCATCAGAGAGGAGATTAATCAATATGCGTATAAATTGACTCGAATACTTTTAATCTTAAAAAAAAAAAAAAAAAAAAAGAAAAAAGAAATAGAATTATTCCACTCTATGTCATTTTGCTGAGTCTTAGTCTTGTGTAGTGCCCTTGTGACTAATTAAATATGGTGAAGCAGTCAAATATGGTTGCCTGCAAAAGTCCACCATTCTACACATATACGCAAGAAAATCATGAATAGACAGACATTAACTATTAGACTTTGAATATAAATGAGCTTATGAGTAGTAATTTTTTTTTTATAAAGTGTCGTGCCGATTATTTTACCGCGTTCAGTGATGGCTTAAAACATATTTTTTAAGAAAAAACTTAACATTTAAAAGGTACGAGAAGAGATTAAATTTAAAACCTCTTAATTATCAATAAATTACATTAATTTTAATATTATTTTATAAAAATTTTAAAGGATGTCAATTTAATTTTTCTTAAAAGTAGGGCCACATTGGGCAACTCTGACACCGTAAATAAAGTATAACATCACCCACTACCTAAATATATTGATTAAACCAAAGAATCATCAATAAAAATCGAATTTAAAAAACTCACTTTTATGATTCGCCTCAAGCCAACCTAACATCGATATGCACCTATGTCTACTTGAATGTAATACGTCGTACTTGTATTCATGAAATTTGTTATTAAATAAAATTTAAAAACATTATAAAAGTACAAAAGCTAGATCTGAAATGGGAACCGTTTATTTATTATTTATCTATTAAATTATTTATTTGTTCTTTGATTAGTTGTTGGGCAGGTGACTGCGGGGGATGCCAATCACATCTTGTGGCTTGCCACAGCCAGTGTTGAAAGTCAGATGACAAAAGTGGACCGGGGGTTGGTTGTCAGCCCTTACAAAAACATCATAAAATAAATAATTTTTAATTTTTTTTAATAATTATGAATGTTTTGATTAATTTGTGCATATCTCAACTAATATCTTCTTAATTTTGGTCAAAAACTGATCAACCACACTGAAATTAGAGTATTATTAATGGATAAATTAAAAAAAAAACTAATATCTTCTTAAGTCTGGTCAAAAATTGATCAACCACACTGAAATTAGAATATTCTTAAAGGATAAATCCAGCATGAAATGACCCGAAAAATTACCAAGATTTAAACTTATGGTATCTAAATTTACGGTTCGTTTTTATCACTGTTTGACCTCCCAACAAATTAAATTTTAAAGCTCTCTTATTCAGTTGTTTGTCATTAGATGGGGCCCAACTGTATTTTATTTTCCGAAATTTTCCTAAAATGTCATTTACCCTCCATATTTAAAGTTTCCTCAGATTGCCCATTCAATTTTTAAATTTTTTTGTCTATGTCAACCCCTAATGTCAAGGATATGGGTAGGTGATAAAAGAGCATGAGGTGGAGCCAAACTCTCGTAGCATGGTGCTAAAATCGGTTTGATAGGGATTGAGATTTTCTATAACAGTTTTTTAATTGATTTTAATAAATTATTTAAAAATATTATTTGTATTTAATTTAAAGATTTAATGTGAGAGCCTAATAAATTATAGTTATCGAATTAAAATATATTTTTATATAATAGTAAAATTCACAATTGATTTAATTTTTATTTTTTTTTCAATGGTACAAAATTCATCCATCCCAAATTTCTATTCCCGCTCAAAAATATCTTGTTCTCTTAAAGTCTCTAATATTAGACAATTCAATCAACATACTCCCTAATATAATCAATTCAATCAACATACTCCCTAATGTAATGCCAAATAACCTCAATAATCCACAACTACTTCTCTCTCCCTTATTTCTATCTTATTTGCTCTTGGTACATTTTAATTTTAACTTGCATCACTAAAAAAAGAAATAAAAAAGAAAGTACTATGTAATATTATATAAATATTTTACAATTAATATTCAATTTTTAATATCACAAAGTGTCTTTAGACACGTGATTGTTGCTAGTTAATATAATATTGATATTACAGTTAGAAAATTGAGTTCTCAACTTATAAAAGTATAACAACGGTTAAAATTATCTAATTTTTATCTATTTTAATCAAATGATTTTAAATTCATAATTTTTTTTCTGCTCAAAAGTATTATTTTTTTTCTGCACGTGCATCTAATGTTAGACAAATTAACACTCTTCAATGCCAAATAACTCTATTAATCTATATCTATCTCTCTTCTCTCGTTCTTATTTCACTCGGCTTATTTTAATTTTTAAAATTGCAAAGTTATATATATATATATATATATATATATATATATATATATATTATTTAAAATTTAAAATATATATGTTACATGACGAAGGTTTAAAATTTAGCATCGTAGAGTGATTTCGGCACCGAGCTCAATGGCAATATATGTAAGAAGACTGAAAGTCATGGGCAATTTAGAAACATCTGGGCCCTGAATTCACGAAATCTGCATTTGGGAGAGAAAGGCACTTCCCTCGCACTTCCTTCTATATATAGCCAACGGAGGAGACTCGAACTTCTCAGTTCTCACTCCCCTCGGACCTCTCTCTCTCTCTCTGTTAGCGAGCGAGCGAGCTTCCAGGATTCCCTCTCTTTCCCTCTTTAGTTTTTATCTGTGAAGGAGGAGACGAGGAGGAGCTAGATACTGTGAGCGATAAAGAAAAACTTTTGTTTTCCTCGATCTGTTTGTTTCTCCGAATATTCTTGTTAGGTAACGAAGAGCAAGACAAAGAAAATGGCTTCGGAGCAGAAAAATGTGGGAATTCTCGCCATGGAAATCTACTTCCCTCCCACTTGCATCCAGCAGGTAAACAAACATATACACGCGCGCGTACGTTCATGCATAAATCCGCCCACGCACATACACACATATCTTCTTTCTTCTGGTTTAAGATCAACACACACTGATCCTTTTCTATCAAGTTAGACTATAGTTTTGGTTGTGCTTATGTCAGTGTTTAGAAAAAGTAAATTTGTTTCTTTTCCTGGGAAATTGGTTGTAAATGAGACCGAAAATTCGTTCAAAACGTGAAGTCTCCCAAAATTTCTGGAATGAACCCGGCATTTTTCCATTTTCTTGAGTAGTTTAAACAACACAAAAGTGTATGGCGTGTTCTAGTGCTGTTCGGATTTTGGAAAATTGATTTCGGCTTTAATCTCACACACGGACATAATAATCTGTATCTGTATCTCTCCACAGTTTTTTACTTTGTATTTTATATTTTGGGCTTGGATTGCTTGATTACTTTTTAATATTTGATTAGGTTTTCATTTTTCTTTACTGAATTATTAGTTGGGTGGGTGGACTTAGATTTCTAATTTGGCATATTCAAGCATGAATTTTCAGAAGCTCAAGCCTCTTTTGCCCCCTTAAATTCTGGATAACATTAATAGTAGTCCCTTTTAAGCTTTGAAAATCGTTTGGAAGTTTTATTTCTTCTGACCAAAATTTAGAACCAAATTTGGAGCCCAAATAACATTATTTAAGAGTTTTTATTGGGGCATATGACATGAGATCAAATAAAGAAGCCCCAATCAGCCGCCATGTCATTTGGATTTTAAATTTGATCCCAATTTTGGTCAGTATTGCATTACCGTTATTTCTAATGGGCACTACTAATCTTAGGTCTTTAGTTCAAAAACACAAACTCGTCGATTCAATACTGGCCAAATTTTAGGATTTTTGGTCGTTTAATGTCTGTCTTTCTGTACATTTAAAATCAGCATCTTGTGCACTGCACATCTAAGTACTCATTTTTACCATTAATATGCTGTGCAGGAAGCATTGGAGGTTCATGATGGAGCAAGCAAAGGGAAGTATACCATTGGACTAGGGCAAGATTGCATGGCCTTTTGTACAGAGGTTGAAGATGTCATCTCTATGAGGTTGTGACTCTCCTTCTCCTAATTAACACATATATAACTGCCGCTGAATCATGAATTTCGGATATTCACAGACTGTGACATTTAATCTGCTTGTGACCAATATTCAGTTAGTTGAACTCTGTTTGAAGTCCTTTATGCTCAGCTTAAAAGCAGTTCATATCTCTTCTGAGCTGTGTGAAGCTCAATTTTTCCACAAATATCAAAACATTATTAAGAGCATTATTACATCATAATCATATAATTTAAATACATCTATCATCTGGAATGTTATAAATTTAGTTTTTCGACGTGTGATCATCATAACACCTTTTAAACTTCTTCAAACGCCAAATATCTGATTCCAACCTCTAACTAGAAGAAGACTTCTGTTATCCAAGTTAAGCATGATGATGGTCATAACTGCATCTAGAACACCTCTCTTTTTGTATAACATTGGGACCTGGTTTGTGAATCTTGCAAAAGAAATAACAATGTGTTACTGAACTAGTAAATTATTAGCTGTTTAGAAATTAGTATCTACTTTTCCATAGAGAAGAATGTCATTCTACCCCTTACTCACTGTATATTAATTCTAGGGTCATAATGTGGTACCAAAAAGTTACTTTTTTGAACCACATGACTCTTTTCGTCCAGTAAAAAATTTGACATGTAAAGTTTTGTTTTGTTTTGTTTTATTTTTCCCTTTACTTTGTTATTTTACGATAAATGGCTACAAATGCATCATATTAACATCTACAACTACTAATCAGATTCCATATGATACCTATTTTTTTTGGGGGGTGCCGTAGATGTATCCTTAATTCTATTGCACATTTTAGTCTAAAACTTTTATATGGTTGTTGTATTAATCTAACTAGCCTTCCTTAGGAAAGGTCCATCTTAGTATGCATTTGGTAGGCATTTATGCGAGTTTAAATACTTTCCGGGTTTATTTGTGTTACCATTTCAGAGTCCTTTGAATCCCTAGTTTGATTAACTGTACTTGTGGTAATGGAATGGGTACACTAGCGATACTAGCGTTTCTAACTCTTTGATCTGCAGTTTGACAGCCGTTACTTCACTTCTTGAGAAGTATGGAATTGATCCAAAACAAATTGGCCGGCTTGAAGTGGGCAGTGAGACGGTTATAGACAAGAGCAAATCCATTAAGACGTTCCTCATGCAAATTTTTGAGGTATTTTGCTAACGATGTTGATACTAGTGCCTTTCCATCTTAATTTATCTTGTCTTCTATTGTTGGTTGGTGGTATGAACATAGGGGATTTTCTTGGAACTCATGTAATTGAAGTATTGCTGGATGCATAAGACAATCAGTAGTAGGTTGTACTTTTAATTTTACCTGTAGAGGCTGAGAATTGACTAGGCATATACTAGCTGAAGTTTCTTGAATGCTACAGTTACTTATAGCTGAATCTGAGTCCATTATTTAGTTCCTGGATTAGATTCCGAATAAAATTCCTTGCATGTGCCATTGACACATGAAGTTTTATTTTTAGTTATTCTATTGTTTGATTTCCTGTATCCGTTCTGCTAATTTACTTTTTTTTTTTTAATTAAACTTATATGCCTCACAGATTTGTCCTGCTCTTTTGCCATGTGAAAATACCAGGAATGTGGAAATACTGATATTGAAGGTGTTGACTCAACCAATGCATGCTATGGAGGAACTGCAGCGTTGCTCAATTGTGTCAACTGGGTGGAGAGTAGTTCATGGGATGGACGCTATGGGCTTGTTGTGTGCACAGACAGTGCGGTATAATCTTCACCATCACATGTTTTAATTCTTCTTGGATTATGACCAATATGTTGGAACTCATTTTTCTTGAAAATTTTAAATCATTTGTAAAATCCAATCCACCGGTTCCACACTAATCTGCTTCTGTATGGTATATAAGTTGAACTAGAAAGGCAGTTTTGACACATTGATTGATTGGATATTGCGTTCATTACTGATGGTCAGTAGAACTTGTCACTTCACGTTCTTGGCTTCTTGTGTTAGACTAAAGTCGTCAAATCTAAGTTCCACATTCAATATCTGCAATGTTGCATCAACAAGAAACTTAAGAGTTTCGAGTTTTGTGTATATTTCTGATGTTGCGGGGTTGGGTTTACTTTTACAGATACATCTAATTGCATGTGTTGATTGAGATTGAATACAACTATTCATGTTCAATTATGTTCTATTTTCTAATCAGAGGCTTCCTTTAATAGGTCTATGCTGAAGGACCTGCTCGACCAACTGGAGGAGCTGCAGCTATTGCTATACTAATAGGGCCTGATGCTCCCATTGCATTTGAGAGCAAATTCAGGGGGAGTCACATGTCTCATGTTTATGATTTTTACAAGCCCAACCTTGCAAGTGAATATCCGGTACTTTCTTTAAATCCTGTGTGCTTATTTCATGCTTCTTTCTTTCCATTTTTTTTTTTTTTTTACTTTTATCATTTTTCAAGGACATGGGCAAACTTTTGTTTATTGTGCGTCTTTTACTGTGACCTTGGGTCTGAAAAGCAAAAGAATAAAAACCATTTTGGTTTGGTCCCATTGCTATCAACAGAATATAAAATTTGATAATTGAAGTTGACGTTGGAGCATATAGCAAAAGCAAAATAAATAAGTTTTTATTGAAGTTACCTCTAACCATTATCTCAATTGGTATATCTTGTTGCTTCCTCGTCCAGGGAAAATGCAGAGTTCTAGTTGTATCATAACTGGGAAAAGCTATCCTTTTTTCTAAGCTAGGAAAAAGCCACTGACCAAAACGTAGAATATTTGTTGAAGTTCTACTTCATTTCTACCTCTAAACCTCTTCTATTTTCTTAATTGCTTAGGGAAATGCTCTGCTAATGTGAAATTATCTGCGTCATGAAGATTATGCTTTCATTCATACAAGGAGAAGAAGAAACTAAGGAACTATTTTAGAAAGTTTTGTTATTTCCTTTAGTTGAGAAACAAAGCACCACAATATTTTGATGGCATGTAACACATCGCATGATAAACATGCAGATCCACAGCACATCGGGCTTTAGATCTACTATTGAGCATGTTTCTCTTAATATGTTGTCATAGACTGTTTTATATGCTTGTTCTCCTGAAAACCTATCTTATGAAATAAGGGTAGAAATATTCCCAAATGCACGCAGTTTTATGAGAAAAAAACTTTTGAGAGTGTATTGAGATTTCGCATGCGTAGAGGCTCTTATCGGCATTGCAGCCACAAAGTGCTTTCAAAGTTTCTTGAAAAGACTTGAAATCTTCTAAATGTGCATTTTTCATTGAATGTCCTGCATTAAATCAAACAACCAAAATGATGCGACTGTTCCTTGTGAGTTCTGCATGATATTGTTTAAGGATTGTTTGTTTGTCATATTCCAGTTATTTGAAACTCTCACCTGATGCCCAATAATTATTGCAGGTTGTTGATGGAAAGCTTTCACAAACTTGCTATCTCATGGCACTGGATTCGTGCTACAAACGTTACTGTCACAAGTAAATTTCTGTTCAAAATACTAGATGCATTCTCCTTTTTCTAATATGGGCTTTAATGGTTATTTTTGCTTTCTACTTGCCTTGCTGTCGTCTGTGGTATAGATATGAGAAATTCGAGGGCAAACAATTTTCAATTGCAGATGCTGAATACTTCGTCTTTCATTCTCCATATAACAAGGTAGTTTATATGATGCAGTTGTGGTTTTGCAATTGTTACAACTTTAGTTTTCTAATTGACCTAATAGCTTATTTGCTAAAAAATGAATTTGAAATTTTTACTTAAATTAATGCAGCTTGTACAGAAGAGCTTTGCCAGATTGTGTTTCAACGATTTCATGAGGAATGCCAGGTGTTCATTTTTTTCTTTACCAGGGAAATAATATTCTCTACTTTTTAGAAGAATTTCATTGAACAATTGCATTTGTTGTTGTTTGCAGTTCTATTGATGAGGCCGCCAAGGAAAAACTGGGACCGTTTTCATCATTAACTGGTGATGAAAGCTACCAAAGCCGTGATCTTGAAAAGGTTTATTTTAGTTTGCTTTTTGTCCCCCTTAAATTTCTTCATTAACATTGTCTTAATTGTTATAGATTCTGGTCATCTCTGAATCCAATACTACACTTGAAGGCAAACAAATTAAATTTCAACTTGAATAGTTGCTCATCAAAGGGTGTTTGAAAATTGTATATTGCCAAGGTTAGAACTTCTGATGGAAATAGGAAACTAATATCAATGCATTCTACCTACAGGCATCCCAGCAAGTTGCAAAGCCCTTTTATGATGCAAAGGTGCAACCAACCACTTTGGTACCGAAGCAAGTTGGGAACATGTATACTGCGTCTCTCTATGCAGCATTTGCATCCCTCATTCACAACAAACACAGCACACTGGTAACTGCTTAAAAAAATTTTCATTTTTCCCCAGTTTAGATTGTTTGCTCCAAGAACAAGCATTTTTCTTCTAGATTCTGACTCTTTCAATTACTTCAGGCTGGCCAGCGGGTGATAATGTTCTCTTATGGGAGTGGGTTATCTGCCACAATGTTTTCATTCCGTCTTCGTGATGGTCAACATCCTTTTAGCTTGTCAAACATTGCCAGTGTGATGAATATTGGAGAAAAGTTGAAATCGAGGCATGAGGTATATTTCATTCTTTGTTTTAATTTACTTCTTCGCCTGATATCTAAATACTATTTTGGACCCTGCAAAGGCTTAAATCCAAGTATTTCTGATTGTATCTACTAAACATCTACTTCCATTATGCTGTATTATGTCAACCGATTGGAATTTTGAGAAACGTGTTTTCATGCAGTTCCCTCCAGAAAAATTTGTTGAAACAATGCAGCTGATGGAGCACAGGTATGGTGCCAAGGACTTTGTGACAAGCAAGGACTGTAGCCTGCTATCTCCTGGCACCTACTATCTCACTGAAGTGGACTCCATGTACAGAAGATTCTATGCCAAGAAGGCTGGGAACAATGCTCCTAGCACCATTTGTGACAATGGATCGTTGGCCAATGGTCACTGACTCTAGACTAAACGCAACGCAAGGGCGAGTGGTTGGCTGTAGTGTTCTTTAAAATATCAGCACATTGAAGAATAACCATGCTTTCATTAGATTGTTCTATGTAGTGTGTAATTCGTTGGCAGAAACTATTAAATCTGTTATTTTTTTTCCCAGTGGAAATCCTCCTTCTGTGCTCTCTTACTTGAACAAAGATCTTTGGTTGATGGCTGTGAGTTGTAACATTATCATCGTATGCTAGATTTCAAATGAAATTCACTGCGCAAATCTGTCAACTACCTGCTCGTGTATATCGTCACCATGGCTCCCAAAACTCCGAAAATGAAGGTGTTGGTACAGTTTTGATTAGAATGTTTTAGGGGTGCAACATTGACATATTGCGAGTATTTGCTTATTGTGTATACCTTATCAATCAAATAAATTTTTGTCATATTAATTTTTGAGGTTGGATTATAATTTTTTTTTGGGAGGCTTTTAGAATTGATCACGAAGATGTGTAAACTTGAAGCGTGAGATGTATGCTTGAATTGAAAAGCTTAAATCTTCAGAAAAGTGTGTAGATGAATAGTGTAGAAGAAATTGATTTAAGGTTGAGTTTGATAGCATTGTAAGATGCTATGGTAAACATACCATGGAGATAAGAGTTGCAAAACAAGTAGAACACGTTTATTAAGTGAAGAGTTTGATTAATTCACTCTAATAAAATCTCTTGCTGTTTTGAGATTTTCTATTATTTGGTGAAGAAGATGGAGTTTTAATTTACAGAGATTACACTTTGTTAGTTTTTATGAGGGAATACCTCTGGTATGTATACTCAAAGGGAGAGTGGTCCTAATATCATCATCACATGGTTACCAAGTTTATTAAGATTTTGTTGAGGAAATATTGTGCGTTAGAGGCTATATTCTCTAAGGACTTGTTTGGTATGTGGGTTTGAGAGAGTTTTGAAACATGAGTTGGGAAATAAACATCCTCAAACCCATGTTTGACAAATACACATGTAGTCTAGGATTTGAGCCCCGGCCCAGTCATGAAACCCAAGTTCATGGGTTTCATGAAACCCAAGGAGGGATGGATTTCATATGTGGGTTAGTGGGTTTAACATGCAAATGATATTTATACCCTCATATATCCTATATACTCAATATATACAAATTAGTTAAGGGGTAGAATAGTTATTTATACACAAATATATTATCATAATAATTGTATATCCCTGCGCATACTAAACATAGGTATGAACAACATTAAATGTTGAATCTCATCTTTGGGTTTGGAAGAGTTTTGACAAGTCAATCCAAACTTCTCCAAAAAAAACATACCAAACAGCTCCTAAGTGTGACGCAGTCTTCTAAAACATACAAAGGTGGCAGTGTGACCGGTTGTCAAGCTTAGATACGATGTGGTTAGGGGTATCCATGAGTCGGGTTAGCCCATAGATCCTATTATTCGACTCAAAAAAAATTCAAAATTTGATAGGTTTGATAGTTGACCTGCTAAAACACGAGGCAAATATCCTTTATGATGGAGCTTGGGCTTGCCCTCAAATCCATTATCTGACCCTAAACCCGGCCCCTGAAATTGCCCACCCGCAAAAACCCGCCCCAAAGAGCTCACTTACCCTTCCACCCAATTGTTTGAAAAAAAAATGACCATTGAAACTTTGAAAGTTTTAGTAGAAATATATGATTCTACTACTTATTTAAATAATATTATTCATTATTTATTTTTTGTTCGTTTTGAGTTTTGACTTTATTTTTAATTAAAAAATGTAATTTACAAAAATATTAAGTTGAAATTTTTTTAAATAAAATTGTATATAAAAATAGTCCCGTCCAATAAGCTCGCTTAGTGAGTGATTGGTTAGGCTACGGATAGCCTACCCTTATTCAAAGTCTAGTTTGCCCTGCCCGATAACTCGCCCAAGTAAGGGCTTGGGCCTATTTTACCCAAGCCCGTCCCAACCCAAAGACTCCCCTAGTTATGGTCCTCTATATCTATGAAAGGTTATGCTCTGAGGTCATTCTGCTTGGGATGACTTCTTATACTTTTAATCGGTCCATAAATAAAGAAATTCGATCCAAACGCTTACTAGAGTTGGATGAGATGATTCTTCTTATTATGCAACATGGACAATCTGGATACTTACATTTGAGATAATACGTGGCCGACCTTAACACTTTCACATGAGGCTGGATGTGCGATTAGAGGTCAAGAGACAGACCTTGTCCATTGGCTCTTTCCACAAGTCAGTTATGGAAATTTCCTCCTACTTATTCATGATATTTTTTTTTGGGAAAATTTTATCTACACTCCCTGTAATTAGGTCCAAATTCAATAACACACCCTCTCGATTCTGAAACTTCACTGTCACTCATTGTCAGTGTATGTCGGATTACAGTATTAACGACGATTGTTAATTTATAAAAACACCCTTAAACATTGTATACGGTAAATTTTATCCACACCTCTTATAAATAGACATAACTTTAACGACATTCCTTGTAAATAGACATAACTTCAACTACACCTCCTGTAAATAGACCTATCTTTAACAATATCTCTTGCTAATTCTAAAATTTTAATGCACTTCCTTTTAGTTCTATTATATTAACATTTATATTTATCAATTTTTTTATCAAATTAGTGTGTTTTATTTAATTTAAACTAAATTAACATTCCATCTCATCAAATCAACACAAATTGATATTTAATTTTTTCAAATTAGCATTTAGTTATATTAATTTAATATTTTATTTCATCCAATTAATATTATTTATTTAATTTAACGTTAAATTATTATTTAATTTCATCAAATCAATACCAAATTGATATTTTATTTTATTAAATTAAATTTTAATATATTAAATAGAATATTAAATTTTATTAATTTTATATTTCACGTTATCAAATTAATGTCAGTTATTTAATTTAACACCAAATGAATATTTAATTTCATTAAAGTAATATTTAAATTTATTCAATTAACATTAAATTTTATCAAATCAGCACTTAATTAATATTTAATTTTATCAAATTAAAACCAAATTAATATTTAAATTTATCTTATTAAGACCAAATTTATTTTATTAATATTAAATTTTATCAAATAATATTTAAATTTTATATATGGTATTGTATGAAAAGTGATCAGGTCACGTTGTGAAAGATAGACAATAGCAGAGAAGTTTGAAATAGATGAAATTTTGACAATGACTTTATCGATTGTAATTTTATTATAAAAAAATTATTTTTAACTATAAAATAAATTTAAAACCCTTTAATTTATAACAAACAACAAAAAACATACCACAGAGGAAACTTTGGTAGTATAAGAAAATAAGATACCAAAAATTGTACCTCTTACCCAACAACTTATAAGAAAATTGACTTAATGACTTAAAAGTTTAAGAAATGTTTTGGATGAAAAAAATTTGTATGAAAAAAATTAAAACTCTCTGCATGAAAAAAAAATAAAAAAAATTGCAGGAAAAAATTTTAAAAAATCTGTATGAAAAAGTTTTCAAATCTGTAATAAAGAAATAATTTTTTTTTATCAACTTAGATAGTGATCACTGTGGAAAACGAGTTGAAGAATAAAACCTGGCTTTAGTGCCCTATGTCTTCTAGCAATCCCATATCGTTTTAGACCTTCACAAATAACAAAATGTGTGGTAGAAATAGTGGGAAAAGGGTTGAAGATATTTTAATATATTTACATAAAAAAGGGTGATTTTGACATTTTCAAAAAATTTATAATCAAATTGTTATTTTTTGTACTAGTAGAGTTAATTACCATTAAAAAGGTGCCTTTGATTTGAAAGTATAAATCACAAGGGGGTGCAATGAAGTTTTATAATCGGGATAGGGTATTATTAAATTTAGACCTAACTAGGAGGAGTTAACACATAATATTTTAAGATCGATTTTAAAATTATTATAATCAATTATCGACATCTAAAAAAATGATAACTTCACACAAAAAGAGTTCTATTGACATCAACACAGTTGTAACTTACACATTAAAAAGTTGTAATATAACGAGTGAATTATACATATGACCCTCAAAGTATGACCCTTGTGTCAATTAAGCCTTTAAATTTTTATTTTTTTTGTATCAATTGAAACATGACCTCTCTAATTGTGTCAATTGAACTTTTCTGTTGTCTACTTCCATTAGACTTTCTTACGAAAAATGGTGAAGTGTGTTATTTGTTGATAGTATGGATGTGAGCAGCTCAGCAAACACACATAGAGCTCAACAGACACCTTAGCAATTACTACACATCAGCTACAAGCATACAGCTCAGCAAAGACACATTAAGCTGCTGCACATCAGCTGCATCATAGTATCACTCATCCAACTGATTGTAACCAATTGCCCAGATGTTTGTAACTAACCTCACCACCTCCATGTGCTACTCATATGATGTAACTAACAAAAGAAAAGCCTTGAGACTGATTAGTGTATAAATACTACTCGATGGAATGAAAATGAGTGAAATTCTAGCAACACTTTTGTCCTTGTTATACTTGCTTTTCACCTCTTCTATCATAGTATCAGAGCAATTGTTGTGAAACCTCACTGGTTCACAAATGACATCATCTTTTCTTGCGAATAACAGTTCTTCTGCTATAGCATCCATGACCTCCACAACTTCATCTTCTTCGTCTAGGTCAATTTCTTCATCGATATTCTTACTCTCAAACATCTGCAACTTGATATCAATACTACTAGATTCGATAAACTATGATCTCTGGCGTTACCATATCTCATCAATCCTACGAGCTCACTCATTGCTTGGCTATGAGGGTGGTTTTGTCAAGAGTTTAGAAAAGTTTCTTATTGATGAAATTGGATGTTGGGCCTTTGTGAAATTTAGTTTGTATGTTAATCTGGATGATGACCCGACCCGAAGTAATGTTGCGTGATTTTTAATGAAAATTTTTTGAGGCTTGGGGCATGGAGTGTATCGGCCCAAGCCGTAGCGCTCATGAACAAGCCTTATGGGGGTTCGGGGGTAACGGTGGTGAGGAAAATTTTTTGGGCCTATTTTGTGACCCGGTGCGTAAGATATATAAAGACCGCTACTTTGGTGATTAAGGTTTAATCAATGTATAACCGCTCTTTGTAATCTTTTCTCTCAATAGTGAAAACTCTACAGTTTCGTGGACGTAGACAAATTATCGAACTACATAAAATTTTTGTGTGTTATTCTTTCTTGTTTCTTATTGCTTTATATTCTTAGTTTGTTCTTCGATTGTGTGTGTTTGTCTGTGTGCTTAAAGTGTATTAAATCTCAACAACTGGTATCAAAGCTCTGGGTTAAGAGGTCAAGGGTTTACACAATGGCTGAAGACAAAGTCAAGATCGAAAAATTCAATGGCACGAACTACACGTTTTGGAAGATATAGATGGAGGATATTCTGTATCAGAAGAATCTGTATCAACCTATCGATGAGACGAAGCTAGCGGATATGGAGCAAACAAAGTGGGATGTTCTGAATCGCAAAGCCCTAAGGACAATACAACTGTGCCTCGCACCGTCAGTTGCGTCGAACATCGCCAAAGAAAAGACTATATCATATTTGTTC